TATTAAAATTGTAACTGGACACAGTACCATAGGGCTGGGGCCACTGTCAGTTGTGAATTGCTTCATGATAAAGAAGTAGGGAACAGAAAGCATGGCCTAGAGGAAGAAGGTCAAAGCTATCTTTGCATTCCTATAAACTCTAAGCTACAGCAGAAGTTAAAGCTTCACACAGTCCCAGTAGCCTCGACAACTGTTCCCATTTACCCAACTTTCTGTGGTGCTGCCTGTGGTTTGCAATACAAGCCACAATATTCAGTGACGCTGCCTTCTACCCCTGCACCCAGAGATCCCCAGAGAAGCACAATTCACCTGTAGGAGTGTAACACTGTCTGCATACAGAGGAAGTTTCCTCATGAGATAGCTAAAAATCGTTGCTAGAGACAGCAAGGATGAGATTTAGAAAAAAAGAAAAAGCTGGTGGTTCCTACCTGTTAATTCATATTCTGCTGAGTCAACACTTATGTTAATGTTAGTGTTAACCCAAGTTTTTAACTGCTTTGGCAAGCACCTTATATACAATTTCCATGATGATTTTTTGTTAAAACTCCGGACTACTTGTCATTATACAGAATTAAACAGTCCTCTAACAGGCCTCTGAAAGGTGCCGTGCTTTTGTGATTGGAAGAAAAAGGAGCAAGGTCCAAAGGGAGGAAAAAAGCATTAAAGAAACAGGAACAAACATCCTCCAGTTAAGTCTGAAGTGCTGGCAGAAATCAAGTAAACAAACGCAAGTTGTAGAGTACCCAGGCAATCATCCCATCCCATTTATGCTGATTCTCAATTATAAATATGCATTTTGTTTTATGCACCCTCCCCCTTGCAGAGATGCAAAGATAGTTTCCATGGCAACACGAGAGACTGGGGAGCATCCACCAAGGCAGAATAACACCAACTTATGTAACAGCTCGAAACTCACCTTTGTTTGGAAAACGCACAGGTGCTTATTTTAGGACAACACTTGTAATGATTATTTACTCCCAACACATACCATGTGTGGTCAAGATAAACATCTCAAGTTCCTGTATTTAAAAAAGCATTTCACAGATAAGATGCAGACTAATCCCACTGAAGTCTTCTTGTGCATCAGGGCTTCTGCAGCAAGTTTCAGAGTCAACTCTTATGTAAAATACCACACTTGACTCCTGAGAAGTTTTAGATAGTGCATTAAAAGCTACAGAAAGATTAAACCTGTAATCTTCCTAGCTTTCCCACAGCATCACAGATCTTTACAATATGTTCTCCCCTGGTGCTGGTTGAGAACATATTAAATACAAAAGGACAAAGAGTGCAGCACACACGCTAAAAAAAAAAAAATAAAAGGATATCAAATTGTTTACTTCATACAAGCTTTTTTAAAGAGGAAACTGCTTTTTTAGGCGTTTTCCGTAGTGATAGTATCATCATGAGAAATCTTAACGTGATCCACTGCCTCTGCCATCGGGTCCAGTTCTCTTTTGACAGATGCACAGCAGCTCAACCTACTTAGGATAGATAGTTAGAAGAAAATGAGTCATGCCCAAGTTGCGTAGGAGTAGCTAGCCGGAGCCTAGTAGGAGGTCCCCAGAAAAGCAGAGATTGCTTCAGAATGCTTACAGCTGAAAGAGCAATGCGAAAACCTGCTGATGGAGGGATGATCCTGAGTCAAAGAACTTCAAGTAACTGCACCGAAATGCAGTCAGGAAGCGACCGACAGCTTCAGGTCGGCATCATTTTAGTGGGGAAAGGACACAAATTTCTGTCCTCAGCCTAAATGACAAGAGCAGATCACAAAGAGCTTAGCTACAAGCATACATATAGAAGTAACAGAACAAAACAAGCTTGAGGTACTCAATTTTTGTCACTAGAAAAATCTACTGGCCTTAAAAAGCAGCCTGCTAGGGAAGCGACCAGTCCTGGAGCACAGTCGTACAAGACCAGTCAGTGCATGCACACGTAATCCAAGATCATTTTACTGCACGATCAAGATCACTACACATATGCTGGAGTGATAGCAAGCGTAAAGTCTCACACGTAACCACACCAACTTCTAAACAGATTATTCTAGCTAAAAAAGGTCACCAGAGCAGTTTCAGTCACCTTCAGATGCAATTACATGGGCAGGGAGGCTCATTTATTCACTTACTGCCATCACCACTGACCCCACCCACACAGCCCATCCTCCCTCTTCCTTGCACTGCTGCTGGCACTCAGAGCATGCCAGGAAAGAGTCTGATAAGAAAACCACTGCTTTTTGTTGCCCCTCTCACATTCCTGCAAGCTAACGCAGCAGTGCTCATCACAGCACTGGGGACAAAGAAAGCACAAAGCAGAAAGAGCAGGAAACTCCCTCCCTCCCGGTACCAGGATGTCCTCCTGCTTGCTCTCTTGCACTGATCCTGCCAGCATGGCCAGCTGGGGTCAGCTTCCAAAGAGAAAAGCCAGCCTTTGACAGCCACCCACGTTAGTAACTTCAATCAGTTACAAAGTTCCATAAAAACAGTGTTTTACACAAACCTTCATTTCTCAAGTGCCAATGACAGAAATTTGGGGATCACAGAGCACTGAGACGACATGATGGGGCAGTTCCAGAATGGAAGCTCAGTGAATAAGGCAAATCTTTCACTTTGAGAAAACAGTTACATTGTGGCATCTACTGTTTCTGCAGTAAATACAATGTAGAGCTACAGTTAAGAATGGCCTAGCTAAATATTATAAGCTACTACTTGAGAGAATTTCATTAGCCAGATACATTTCCAGGTTCTCTGTCTTGCCTGACAGATGACCAGATTTTCTGATCATTGATTAAATTCAGACAAAAAAAAATAATAATAATCCTCCAGGATTGCAAAGCAGATAATAACAGAATAAACAGAATATGATAACCCACACTTATCTTCAAGGTCTGGATAAATGATTTCTTAAAACTTTCAATCAAATTAAAAGTAAACAAGCATGGACAGAATGAAGAGAAGATAACCTCACAGTATTCCAATCAGTGGAAACAGTTTCATTGATCTGATTTTTATAGCTGTGACTAAACATCTTCAGATGCAACATATGTAGAGTTGTCATTTACAAGTTACGATTAAAAAGGCGCACGCACGCAAGTAGACAACAGTAACAAACGATTGAGTCCCTGAATAGCTGATAAAATATGGCTGTTTATAAAATCATAAAGTCATAAAATTACTTGCACATCCCTTTTCTGCCATGTCAGTATCTCTCTAGATTACCTTTGCCAGCTGCTCCTCTAACCCATTAAAAACCTTCAGTGATGGGATTTGTTGAACCATTTCTGTAATTTGAATGTTATTGGTAAAAACTTTCCAGTTGATATTTAACCTCAGTCGTCCCCCGTACAATTCACTTCCTCTTAACCCACCTCTTAACCACATTAGATGGAAAAAAAAAATTTAAATCAATATCCTCTCTTGAACTAATTTCTTAGATAGTGACACACCCCTCCCACAGCCTTTTCCATCCCCCCAAATAAAGTAATACATCAGTCAGAGGCTAAGCCTCTCCATCCACATTGCTACTTCTGACTTTTTTGGCTTGTTTAATACTTGAGACTAGGCACAGAAGAGCAATGAAGAACAATAAATGAAGAGCTTTCTGTAATTTAAGCCAGATCAACACATCCCAGGATAGCATCCGCTTTTGCCAGCTGCATTATGTTGCTTGTTCAGATCAATTTGCAACCATCACTCCTGGATTATTTCCTACAGCTGTGCTGACTATACACCTACACTGTATTTGAGCATCTGAGAGTCCTCTGTGCACAGCATTTTATACTTCACAGACTTAACTTCTGGATTTTGCCTCTCAAGCCTATGGAATTTGATTTTCATTCTGTTTTTATCCAGCAGAATGCTTGCAGTCCCTCCTAACTTGATGTCACATCTGCAAGTTAAAATCTTCAGAGGAAAGAACGAGAGATAATACAACTACAATCACTCCCTGCACACTCATCTGGTTCTCCCCCCGCTTTCAAGGCTTCTTCCTTCCGACTCTGCAGAGTAACTTCGAACTGTTTGGGTTAGCTACCAGACAAGCAGCCAATTCACACATTCAGCTCAAACACCAAACCCTGCAAGTGGATGAACGCAGAACTGTGTTGAAAACCTCCGAAAGATTAAAACTGATTCTCTGCTGGCTCTTAAACATACCTGATCCCCAGACCACGCTTACACATGTAACAGTAAATCCACTTGTGATGTGTTACATTTCTCACATATATTTTCTCACCAGATCCAGTGCAGGGGGGTGGGGGAGGGAGGCACCACAGCAGCTGACAAGCATCGCGGTGGTTTTACAGTCCAAAAATATTTTTAAAATACTTCTCCCTCCAAATTGACATTTCAAGATTGACCGAGCGTGAAACGCAGACAGCATCAGCACCAGGCATAGCGAGAACCACTTAATACCACCTACAACCAGATTAGTTATGTTCTGGGAAAAAAAAAAAAAAAAAAAAAAAAAGCCGATCCAACACGGCATTTCCCCAACACCCTTGGGAGGTGCGACTCCTGCTTCAGACTGCGGATGTTCCAACTTCCTTAGTTTCTGTGGCGAGCCAAACAAAAACCAGGCGACGGGGGACCTCCGAAGCGCCCTGGCTAACGGAATACCCAGCGAAAAGTAGCGATTTTGGCTCGGGGCGCTGGTTCAGCCCGCGGCGGGTGCTGCTGGGGCAGGAAGCGCAGCCCGCTTTGCTTCGCAGGGGCGGTGGGGTCGGCAGCTCCCCTCCCACCCCCAGCCGCAGGGCTCCCTCAGGGACGCGTTGAGCGACCCGGGCAACTCGCAGCCCCCCTCCCACGGCTCCCCGGCTCCTCAGCCCCCCTCTCCCCGAGCCTGCGGACACACAGGTCCGTTACCGGGCGGCTCGGGGCCACCGGAGCCTGCCGCAAGGGAAAGAAAAATGGGAAAAAAAAGGGGGAAAAAAGGGAAGGGCAGCCCGGTAACGGACCGCAGGCAGCCGGCTGCGCCCCCCCAGCCCCGGGACGCGCTCCCCCCGTTACCTGCCACAACCGCCGCGGTGTCCGCCGCAGAGGAGGAGGAGGAGGAGGAGGAGGAGGCAGGGGGGCCGCCCGCCCGCGACCCCCGCCGCCCTCCCACCGCTGCCACCGCCGCCGTCGCCTCCTGCTCGCCGCCCGCAGCGGCCAGGAGCAGCCCCGGCAGGAGCAGCCCCAGCAGGAGCAGGCGGGTGGGCAGCGGCGTCCCCGCCGCGCCGCGCAGCGCTCGGAGCCCGCTCATGGGGGCGAGGGAGGGGAGAGGAGCTGAAGGATCCGGAGCCGCTCCGCAGCCGCACCGCGCTGCAGCCGCCGGCCCCGCGCCGCTTCCGGCGGCCGCCACCGCCACCGAGCCGCCCGGGCGACACGTCACCGCGCCGTGACGTCACCCCAGGGGCGGGGCCGGGGCGGGCTGGCGCCGAGCGGGGGCGACATGGCGGGGGGGGGGGGCTGAGGGGAGTCCCGGGGTCGGCTGCTGAGGTGGAGAGGGCAGGGTGCGGTGTGTGGAAACAGTTGGGTTAAAAGCGTGAAAAAATAAAGAGTTGAAAGCTTGTGTTATAAATTTAATATAAATATAACGTTCCTTATGCTTGGAGCCCCATCAACTTGTCCTGGCCACAGCGGTGTTGTCCAAAGAGCGGTCGCCTGAGGAGGTTGTACAAAAGAAGCGAAGGTGTGAGGGAAAACCTAAATTTGGCACACGCAGCCTCCTCAGGGCAACCACAGAAAGGTGTTTGGAGTCTGGCCCCAAGCAACTTAAATCACGAGCACCAAGCCCTCGTGAGGGCTAAACCCTGATTTCACTGTGCTTAGGGCCTTGGCAAAAAAAAAAAAAAAAAAAAAATCAAAAACCACTTTTACTCAAGTCATTTTCATCAAGCCACTGTGCAGGAATAAAATCCGTGTTGTGCCTTGTGCTGTCCAAAGCCACGGGATTATCAGCCCCTCTGTCTTGATCCCTTCAACAATGAATAACAAGGCCTTCAAAGCCCACATCCCACGTAATACCACAGATACACGACATAAAACAATGCGGCGTGGATGGTAAAAGCTATATAAACCTTGCCCTCACTATAAAATTAACTTACTGCAATCCACGAAGAAGTCACAGCAGAAGTATTTTTAAAGGTTCCTTGGAAAAGCCTCGACCTGCCTCGCAAACCCCACCGGAGATGGAGGCATCACATGCCTCGCAATCCCAAAAGCACAATCCCAAAAGCTCACTGTGCTGCCTCATAGAGCTGTTACATACAGCAGGAAATAACTTCTCAGCCACACAGTCAGCTTGCACACCCATTTCAGCCAAAACGTTTCAATAAAAACAACACGCACACAAAAACTTTAGTTACATAGCATACAAAGATTTGGAAAATGCATCCAGCGGTGACTTTGTGGCCTTAGCATGCAGCAGCCTTTAAAGACCAGCAGTATCTGAGCGGATCTGGTGCAGAGAGAACAATGAAACGCCCGCATCTTACGAAAGCTCGCTCGGCGTTGTTTGACTTTAGGGAGGGGAGCTGGAGCAGAGTAAATTCCCCAGAAGGAAACAAAGAAACCAGCTGTTATTTTAATTAATTAGGTAATTTTAAGATACAAAAAGAGACGTATTCATAAAGGGCACACGAAAGAGGCAAGTCTCTTGGATGAACGTGAACTGCTGTAACTGAGAACTGCTGGAGTCAAAGGCTATGGGCTGCAGGAGTCCTGCAGAGAAATGCCGTGTGTCAGAATAGCTGTGGGCTGGGGACATGAGCAGGGAGCACTTCACTGAAATGCTGGGGGTATGAAGCTGAAAACGGTTTTCATTAAAAATCTTGCAAAATCAGTTTGTTTTCACCTGTTGATTTCAGCTACAGGGTCCCCAGACCAGGAAGCCTGGGATGAATTGTTTCCAAGGAGCACATGTTTGGGAGCTGGGGGAGCCTGGTGCTGGTAGGCACCTGATAGTGAGGGGCACATTGAGGGGGAACACCTCCAGGGGTCCTCCTGCTTCGTCTCACATGGACTCAGCCACACCAGCTCAGAGCGAGGGCAGGTACTGGCCCCAGGCTGCAGCCTGACCCGTTAATCCACAGAAATTTAAGCACCTCGTGATTTCAGTGTGAGGACCCAAATACAGCTGAGTGTCCTTGATCACAGGATCACAGAGTAACCTCTAGACGTTATCTAGTCTAACCCACCCACTCAACCCAAAGAAACACGTATGACCACATGCCAATTTGATTCTGGACTGTTGATCAGTACTCTTTGTGTAAAGTGATTCTGCCTCTTTTTCACCCACTTTGGAGTTATTGGATGCTGGATGAAAAGCACTGGTAAAATTGGGGTATGCTTCTCTGATCACATCATCTACAGAGCCAATCATCTCATCATAGAAAACAAACATGTTGGTAGCTCTGTGCTATTTTCTCCAAATCAACTCCTTGTCCTTCATCAGCCTGGAAATGGCTTCCAGAAAGATTTCCTTCATCATCTTCTCTGAGAGAGAGGCTGCACAAGGCTGTTTTTTTCCAGTACCTGGCAATCTCATCTGATTGCCACAGCTTTTCAGGGATGATAGGACCGGCACAATTTCATTAGTCAGCTTCCTCAGCACCTTCACGTGCACATCCTGTCCAGTCCTGTGGACTTGTATACATCTAATTTGCTAAAGTGACCCTAATGCAACCTTTCCCTAGAGCTGGTAATCTCTTCCCCCAAATTTTGCCTCTAGGCATAGAGGTCTGTGAGGCCTGAGGGCTGACCTTGATAGTAAATACCAAGGGAAAGAGGGCTTGGCATATCTCAGCCTTTTCTCTATCCTTCATCACTGGGTCACCTACTCCATTCATCAGCAGACCCTGTGGTTCTTGGGCTTGGTATGCTTGTAATGAAAACAATTGCAATGGTTTGTCTACACCCAGAGGCAGAGCCCAGCCTTCAGAAAAGGCTGAAACTGGTGTGAATGGAGAATGAATGGTAATGTAATGTCAGGGTGTGGAGGCAACAGATTGAGCACACTGCAACAACAGGGCCTGTGCTAATGGCACCCAGTTAGCAGATTATCAAGACCACAGCACATCTATGTGCAGTTTTACAAGACACCCAGATCTGGAGAAAAAGAGCAACGAACAAATCCAGATGACTCACAGAGGTGAGACAGAATAGAGATGCTATCACTATCAGCTCCTAAAGACTCCACAGGGTCATTTCCAAAATCTCCACACAGTTGCCAGCCTCAGAAGAACCCAGGAAACTTGAGGACTTTAAAGATGGTGTCATTTGCCCTGTATGTAATTGCAAGGGATGCTGGACCTAGGCATGACAGTGCCATAGGTCTGGACGGGTGGCTTAAGCATCTCTGCCTTGGTGCCACATGGCTTTATGGATTTCCCAAACACACATGTTCTGGTGCTCCTGAGCATGAAACTGTCGAGGATGTGAATTAAAGGTGTTTCACTGCAAATTCTACTTTAAATAAAACCATTTTCCTCTCAAACCGTTCCGACACTGATATGTGGTACACTGCTGGTGCAGTGTTGCAGCGGCATTTCCCATGATGGCAAAGAGCAAACTCTTTTTGCAAAGAGCAAACTCATCATCTCAAGGTCTAGAGTTAAGCCATTTATATTACTTAGAGTCGTTATTCTTGATCAATATTGGACTTGTATAGTCTTGGTCAAATGTTCTGAATGTGCTTTGTTGTAAGGAAAACCTAAGATTTTTGAGTTCTGTCTTCCATTCTTTCATTGATCTTCAGAGCAGAAAGCTATATACATATACATATATATATATATTTTATTTTTTTTTTGTCATAGTCTGTATTTTACTGCTTGGAGTTGTCATTTCCATCTACAATTTGCAATCAGCAAATTTTATCCACCTTGCTTACTTGCACACATTGATTTATCTGAATAGGGAAAGGAAATTTATCTGAATAGAGAAAGGAAATAATCTTCAGAGTTGCTTAATGCCCACAGTGCTTTCCAATAGCTACATTTGGCCAGTCCTAGAAGACCCTGGAAGCAGGTTTGAACAATAGAGCAAAAAAAAATAAATACTTTTTCTGCTATTTGGTGCTATTTACAGTCTCTCCAGCTAACAAGATGAGAATGGTCTGGGTATATCTGAGGACTCAAAAGGAAAAATATTAACCATATACAGAAACAGGCTGATAATAAGAGATACAAAGAAACCTGGGGGACAAAATGAAAGCATATCACAGACTGAAAAAAAAAAAAAAAAAAAAAAAAAAAAAAAAAAAAAGAGGAAGGAAGGTCAGATACCAGAAAAGACTTAAAGCAAATGCTTAGGTAGAAATGAAGGCAATCAGATTTGCTTTTTAAAAACATTGCAAATACAAAACCAACAGTAAATTCATGTATATTCAAATAAATTATGACCACCAGATTACTGGTATATTGTCTAAAGAGCATTTAATTCCACAAATACCAGGAAAAGAAACAATCACTTTCAATTTTGAGAGTAAAATTCAATGGTCTTCTTGACTAGATATGTTATTCATATCTTTACCCAAATTATACAAAATCACGCCTCCAAGTTCTCTGATTTTGTGTGCTGATAAAATCTGGAGCAAATATGGAATTTTATAGTCTTTATATTTGCCACAATGAGAAGATTAGTTTAGGATCCCATTCTCAGTTGTTGCTGAGTTACTGAAGTTTATATTTTGAGGAAGGAAGGCTGTTAACTGCAGAGAAAACTACAGTAAGTATTATAAATGGTCCTGTATTCCCAGCCCTTAATGGACTAAGAAATTATGGGCCATAGATATTATCAAGTTCCAATAATGAAATTGGAACTGAGAGAATGGAAGTAAATTAAACGTTCTCATCTGATGAGCGTATTAGCCCTTATGATCTTCTTATCAAGGGAGCTAGGCATCTCTCAAATGAGCAAATTGCCTGGTAATAACCTAAAATGCTGTAAATGACAAAATCTCTTTCAATCAGTGAGAAGGAACAGTCATTAAGTGCAAGCTAGGGCTATAGTTCTGTGAGAAATTGTTGATTATGTCTCCTCATTTTATTTTTTTTTCCCCAGTGATAGTATTATCAGCAGTATTGCAGATTCTTTTCTCTCACACTTAAAGAATAAAATAAGTACAAAAAAATCTTGAAGAACCCAGAACATTCAGCAAATGCTTGTTGCGGCTGCATCTCCCATTAGCATGGAAGCTTTGCTTATGTTTTGTTTTTCAATCTGTTGAGCTCTTTATGGGAGCAAAGATGCCATTTCAGCTACTAGATGTAGTCTAGGCAGACTGGAGTTGGATTTTGTTTAGTTCAAAAACAAACAAAGACTCAATCTGTTTATGCAATACCTTGAGGCATATCCGGAGATACC